CCAAAGTTTCCCGTAGGGTTTCCTAAACTGTCACCTTGCTGTTCAAATCAACCTTACAGTCCAGTGCTTATCCTGCAGCACCACACCTGGGTTATATACCATATTCTTGGAAATATTCTTATATATCATTGATCCACAGTGTCCCTGCAGGACAGGGTAGAATTGCCTGCAGGACAGGGTAGATGACAGCCAGGGGGTTTCCCAGGCTGTCATCTATCACTATATAATGGTTGTTGTTAAGTGCCATTGAATCACTTCCAACTCATAGTGACCCTGTATAGACAGGATTTCCGAGCAGTGGCTAGTGAGTTTGAACCACTGACCTTACGGTTCAAACTGACCTACAATCCAGTGTTTATCCTAGAGCACCACACCAGGACTCCATATACTGGTATACACTTACATATCACGACTCACAGCGCCCCAAGTGACATAGTAGAAGTGTCCCATAGGGTTTCCTAGTCTGTCATCTATTGTCACTATATACTCATGGTGGTGGTGGTGGTGGTGGTGGTGGTTGTGTGCTGTGGAGTTGGAACACAGCAATCCTGTACAGGGTTTCCGACGCTGGAAATCTTTATGGGAGCAGAAAGCTTCATCTTTCTCCTGCAGAACAGCTGGTAGTTTCTAACTGCTGACCTCATATAGCAACTCAAAGTGTCTCCATGTGACAGAGTAGAATTACCCCATAAGGTTTCTTTGGCTGTCATCTATTGTGTCATTATCTCTTATATATCATGGACTCAGAGCATCCCCACGTAACAGTAGAACTGCCCCATAGAGTTTCCTAGGCTGTCATCTATTGGGTTACTATATATTAGTGTACACTCTTACATATCATCGACTTACAGCACCCCATGTGATAGAGGAACTGTCTTATAGGGTTTCCTAGGCTGTGATCTATTATGTCACTACTCATAGATATTCTTATGTATCATCTACTCATAGCACCCCCGTGTGACAGATTAGAACTGCCCCACAGGCTTTCCTAGGCTGCCATCTATTGTGTCACTATAAACTCATGTTGTTGTTTTTATTAAGTGCCATGGAGTCGGTTCTGACCCATAGCAACCCTGTACAGGGTTTCTGAGGAGCGGCTGGTGGAGCTTGAACCACAGACCTTGTGGTTCAAACCAACTTTGTAGTTCAGTGCATTAACCCACAGTGCCACACCAGCGCTTTATAAACTCATGTACTTTTTTCAAAGTTTTTATTGTGAGGTTTACATGGGAGAACATCAGCTTTTCACTCATCCTATCATATTTCATTTCATTGCAATGATTACAATCCCCTACATGCATCATCAGATAACCAAAGGGTATACCACACAGACCCGCCCTCCAGCCACCAGCACACAGCCCTTTTCCCTCCCTGAGTACAGTGTCCCCAGCAGCAACATCTGTCCACATCATTGTCTCTGTCTCCATCCCTGCCATCACTGCCTCTCTGAGAAGGGTCCTGCTCTGTTCTTCTCACTTGATGGTCCCAGGGACCTCTGCTCTTGGGCTGCAAAATCAATCACTCTCCTCCTTTTGTCAAAAAACATCTACCTCTATATTTCCTACCCTCACAGTCAGTCCTGATGGCAATTATTCACTATTGTACCACAAGAGACTTATCCCCATTTCCTTTTGCCAGCCTGGTCCCAACAGATTGGAAATCGTTCAGTGGTGATTCTACCTTCCCCCGCCGTGTCTGGCACTAGGCTCCCTCTAGAAAGCTTGTAAGCCAGTCACTTCTTGCCTTTATTGGCCCCTCATTTTGGGTAGCCTATGTCTAATTTGCCCATCCCTGTCAACCCTGTGTACTAAGGGGGTGGGAGTGATCCTTGCTGTAAAGATTTGTTCCCTTTTTTGAGCTACTACATCCATAAGTATAGGTAAAGTTCATCAAATTGTAGCAGGTTACTCCTTTTTTTTCCCCCTCTTCTTTCTTCTAGTTGAGTTCTGATCATCCAGCCATCGAAGCCAGGTTAGGTGGGTGCTATCTGCAAGTATGGGTGTTCTTGTGCATCTCCCCTCACTTCATGTCAGCTGGACGCTTCACTCTCCACTCCAGTCCTCTGTTGTTGTTGTTGTTCAGTGCCGTCAAATCGGTTCTGATCCATAGCGCCCTGTAGCCACTCATATATACTCTCATAGATCATTGATTCACAGCGACCCCATAGGGCTTCCTAGGCTGTCATCTATTGTGACAATATGCACTCATATTGTTAAGTGCCATCAAGTCAGTTTAGACTCATAGTCACCCTGTATAGGGTTTCTGAACAGCAGCTGGTGGATTTGAACCACTGACCTTGAAGTTCAAAGTGACCTTTCAGTTAGGTGCTTTTCCTACAATGCCACACTGGACTTAATATACTCATACTCACATATGTTGGACTCACAGCATGTCCTTAGAATAGAACTGCCCCATAGTGCTTCCTAAACTGTCATCTATTGTGTCAATATATAGTCCTGGTGTGGTACTGTGGTATAAAGCACTGGATCGCAAGGTCAATTTGAACTGCAAGGTCGGCAGTTCAAACTCACCAGCTGCTCCTTGGAAACCCTATACAGGATTGCTGTTGAGTCGGAACTGACTTAACAGTACTTAACAATAACAACATACCCTTATATATCGTCAACTCACAGCATCCTCATGTGACAAAGAAGAATTGCCCTATAGTCAATATACTCATGTTGTTGCTGTTAAGTGCTGTTAAGTCAGTTCTGACTCACAGCTGCTCTATATAGTGTTTCTGCAAAGCAGCTGATCGGTTTGAAGTACCGGTCTTGTGGTTCACAGTCCAGTGCTGATCCTATGATGCCATGTATCACTGACTTACAACATCCCTGTGTAACAGAGTACAACTGCCCTGGAGGGCTTCCTAGCCTGTCATCTCTACAGGAGCAGACCACCAAGTCTTTTCTCTCACAGTGGATTCGAACCACCAGCCTTTCGGTTAGCAGCACTGTTCCAAGAAGGCTTCTTAAATTGGTAGTAGAAGGAACATTTCCCCCCGGCTCAGATGTAAGGCATCACATTACAAAAAAAATCACTTAATCTGAGGACTCTGGGTTTTTAATAAGCTTAGCAACATGGCTTCCCTTACTCCGTATTGCAGGTACTGAGACTCTACCTCATGTTTCTAACATAACCTGGTGATCATACTAAAAGAACACACACAATCGTAAATGGTCAGACATCATCAGAATATTTGTACAGATGGAAATAAGTACAGGAAATGAGGAACAGCTCTAATGGGTTCATCGTGGCTACAGCAGCTCTTCCAGCCGAGAGTCTCCACAGAGTGCTGCTCACATAGTGAGTCTTCCAGGAAGTGCCCGCTAAGCACGTGAACAAGAACCAACACAAGAGCAAGCACAGCAGTTTCTATGGAGGGCAGTAGTGAGCAGTATGAGGCTTACATACATATGTACACAATTGACAGTTCATCTTTCAAAAGGCACCGGGGTTCCAGAGTGGCAGTGTCAGGCATTCACTCACCTGCTGCTGAGTGGAAAGGTGAACAAACAACTCCACGCCAGCTGTGGAGCTTATGCACAATCACAACTGCTCCACAGAACTGCATTCTGTAGAATTCCCAGTGTTTCAGCAGTAGATCACCAGGTCTTTATTCCGAGGTGCTGTGTAGTAATTCCAGTCCGAAGTCTGCCTTGTCTGGTGTGGTAAGTACAGGTTCAAGGACTGGACAGGAAGATGAGTCATGTTCTCTTCTCTGCAGATATAGTTCCATGGTGACCCCAGCTGCACCAGACCCCCTTCAATGACCATCACTGACCCCCATCCTACTCCAGAAGCAGTTCCTCAGGTACTTCCGGTTCCAGGACACCATTGTGGCACACACATTGCGAGCCATGGATCCACTCTAAGGGTGCCTTGCTGTGTGGTGTGGACCAGTCCCAAGGGGCGCACGCAGCCCCGCCAGAAGAGCTGGAGTCTTCCTTATTTGGCAATCGGTCACAAGGAAAACAAAACCTTGATTTTTCAGCCTTTCTCACTAAGCAGCACCAGAGCCAGTAGGTCCCGTCTATAGTGCACTTGAGTGCACTGGACAGGGAGAGATAAGGTTACTGGGTGACACATAGGATGGCCCCTCCAGCTGTTCCAGTTGCCTGCTGCAAACAGGCGTGGCATGGACCTGCATCACTGAGCTCCACCTGGTGTACTGGGCAGCTGGAAGGCACATCTGTCTGTGCCCTCACCCACCTGTCTGTAGAGTAGAGGACACTGAGGGACAGTGAAGGCCCGGTTCCACTCTAACCAGCAGCCCTCCCCTGAGCCCAAGGGGATAGCGCTGGCCCCCCATTCTGAGGATAGGCCACCTACTCCCAAGAGCACCTGTAGGCTCACTGGCTCAGATGCACATAGGGACAGCTATGCACAAGGGCTCTGTGAGGAAGGGCTTGAATGTAGACCACCGTAGACAGCAACAACTGGCTCTGAGGAATGCTTTGTACCCAAGGCACACCACCAGCAGACATCAGGCGCTGCGGCAGGTGGCCTGTGCCCAGTAGCCACTGTGCTGTAACTCCAGGCCTCCACACCCCGAGGCCTTACATGGGATGGTGAAGGGAGGAGCCAGGGAGTCTCAGCACTGCAGTGTCCCACACAGCCATGTGACTAAGAGTGCCAGAAGCATGAGTTTGCCCTTGGAGACCAGCCTTGGTACAGTGATCTGGGACAGCTGGGGACACAGTGAACTAGGACCAGTCGCTGTTCCTGGAGGGCCTCACATGAAAACCCCTGGGGCTATGGACTCAGCTAGCCAGTGAGGAAGCTAGACTGCAGGCCACAGACCGAGGTTCCAAGTCTGCAGGGACCCATTCTGCCCAGGGGGTAGGATCAGACCCTGAGTCACTGAGGGGGTTGGGGCACAACTAGGAGAAGTATCCTCCTCGTTCCAAATAATGGCACCAGGAACGTGGCTTAAAGGGGGCCACAGCAGCACAAGGCAGCAAGGCCTGGCTGGCACAAGGCACCGTCTCTGTGCCCACCTGGCTGCAGGGGGCCCTCGTATAGAGAGATAGGGCTCCTTCATCGTGCGCACAGCTGAGTCAGAGAGAGCGTGCAAGTATGGACGTGCAGAGTCCTACACACAACACCTGGGATAGGAACACACAGCACCCTTGAGTCCCAGGTCATCAGACCCCAAAGGAGCTGGGTCAGAATGAAACAGGGATACACAATTAGGAAGCACGCTCTTGTGGGTGTGGAGGCCCATGGGTACTAGTTAGGGGACCATTTGTCCTTATGCACATTCTCGACACAGATGCACCTCACATACATACCATGTGTACACACACACACATACACAGCACACATCACAAACATACAACACAGACCCCCCACACACACCACATACGCACACATACCCTGCACACAAACACATGGACACTTCACAAACATACAACACAGATGCCCCCCACATGCCCTGCATACACACTCACATACCATAAACACACAACAGATTGCCCCACACACCTCATACATATACACCCTGCATACACACCCACACACACACTCAAACACACAACAGCTGCCTCATACACATCCTGCATGCATACACACACCCTGCATACACACACTCACACTCCACACTCATAGCACACACACACATACCCCAACTCACACACCACACACACCCTGCATACATACACACTCAGTGCGCACATGTACACTTACATACACCATACTCACTCACACAAGGACGATCCATACATGCTGCTGGGCGTGACCAACCATGTGGTTTCTCATTCAGGAAGTCCCAGCCACAGGTGCCCCTATGCTCCTCGGACCTCACCCCTCCTCCCACTTGCTCAGCAGACCAGATCCCCAGGCTTCTCCAGCCACTTGCCCGCCACGCGTGTGCTGAGTGAACAAGTCCACCCTAGCCTGGACACTGGGAACGGTAGCACTTCCAGCACTGGAGTGGTGGGTTGGAGGGTGGTGTTGGTGGGAGGGCACCCCCATGACTGGGCTCGGAGTTCTTGGGACATCACCCACCTGTCCCGGGTCACCAGATTCCAAGGGAACTGGGTCAGAATTAAACAGGGACACGCCATTAGGAAACATGTTTTAGTGGGGTCTAGGTGCCCGTGGGCACTAGCGAGGAAGCAGGCTGTCCTCCAGGGGTGATCGGGGCCGTGTCAGGTTGGTGCTGGGTCCAACAAAGAGGCTGTGCAGCTTGGGCTTCAAGTCATTCCACACCTTGCTCATCTGAGAGGGAGAGAGGTACTGTGAGGTTGGTGGGCAGGTCAGCATGTGGCCGTTGTATGCACAGGGCCACACTGGGGTGGGCATTCGGGGACCCGGGCAACTGCTGGTGCATGGCACCTCTCCAGGGATGAGCCAAGACAAGTACATCCACCACACATATGATCTCAACTACCACATACTGCCATTCCCAAACTCTGCGGCACCCAGGGAAACCTTAAATCCTCCAGGGAAATGGAAACATCTGTCAGACATGCCCCCTACAACAACTTAGTGAGCAACACTCCAAACTCAAGTGGTAAACCTTCAGTGTGCGGGAGTTTCTCATCTGGCTCCATGGGCCTTTCGTCCTAAAGTCACTTGGGAACGGCCCTATGGCCAGACCCTGCTTTACAGCCCAAGCCCGGTTCACACTAGCCACCAAGCTGGTCAGATGCGATCATCCCTTGATGAGTCAGCCCACCCTCACAGACGCCAGCCCTTGGGTAGCAGTCCCACCTTGGCCCTTGGGGCTTCTGTGTGATCTGGGCACTCCCTGATGGAGGGGTTGGTGCCCTGCATTCATCACCCACAACATCCCCAAACCAACTGTGGATGGTGTCAGCATCAGACACCTGCCACTCTTCAGAGAGGAAAGCTGAGACCTCTAGGTTGAAGGCTGTAACCAAGGCCACAAAGCAGCCCCAATGGCCACAGAAATGGGGGAAGAGCTGGGGCTGACAGTCTGAGCTGCCTGGGAAACTGGAATTAGCCTCAGAGAACAGGTCTCCCCCATGGAGTGGCCACTGTGGTAACTGAAAGACCAACATTTCAGGATGGGGCACCTGGGAGAACTAGCTAGGGTTGCTTTCCATGCCTTGCCTCAGGCCAGGCAGCCACATCCCATCCAGACATCCAGTAGAAACAGGTGTGCTTCCCAATGAGAAGGGAGAGAAGCCCAGAAGGGGCACAAGAGCCACACTGGCTCTGGAGCTGCTGTGCACATAATCACGGCTCACCACGGCTCAGAGGCCCCATAGGGATTCTAATCAACTTAGGGGAGCTGCTCAGTGGGGGTCCCTAAATCAAGCTGCCCCCCACCCGCTTTCAAAACTAGGGGCTCGGCAGGCTTGACCTCCAGCTTCAGGAACACCTCCAGGAGAGCAGATATGGTTCCTTTTGTCTCCCAACTCCTAAGAATTACGTGGACAACCTCACAGGACCAGAACCTCACTGGAAGATCCTATTAACTTTGGGGGTCCATGCAGAGCACAGAGGAAGGGTGGTAGGGAGACAAAGGCCCAGATGGGTAGGGGTACTTGCCTCTTTGTGGCCCTGGATCTGCGAGTTCACAAAGGCCCCAAGGATGTGGGAGGTGAGAGGCAGGTAGGTGTGCACCAGCTGTGTCTCCTGGTGCAGGCAGTACAGAGAGAAGTGGCTGCGTAGCTCTAGCATCTGGATGGCATTCTCCTGCTACAGAGGAAAGTGGGTCTGTGCCCAGCCCCGCGAATACTTGGGCCGGACTCAAGCCCACCCTTAGAACCGAGCGCTCTGAAGCTGGAAGGACTGGAACAAGCTGAGACATGCATTCTTTTGAGTGCCCGTGGGGCAGCACCCATCTTCACCTCATACCCAACCTTGACAGCAAACACCCAATAATCTGAAGCCAGCCAGCTAGCAACTGGGGGCCCCCAGGTGTGGCCCAAGCCGCCCCCGGACTGCACTCCCCTGGCCCTTCAGAACCACCTCCACAATGCGGGACTCCAGTTGCTCCACGGACTCAGGCTCCCGGATGTGCGCTGCGCTCAAGGCCTGCCGTTTCGTCCGGCTGTACTTGTGCAGCGCCCCCTGGTGTCTGTGCAGGACGCCCTTCTCATGCCGTTCACACAGGTCCTGTGGAAGAACAGAACTCACCTGTCACCAGCCCTATGGCTCACCCACTCACCCTGCCCCATCCCACTCACCCACTGACACCCCACTTCCCCACGCACTCCCCTTCCTGCTCACCCACTAACCCCACCACCACCTGACTTTTCACTTATCCACGGCCAGCCTGGCCAGGCCCAGAGGCCAGCCTTCCACTCATCCACTGACTCCGACCCACCTCAGCTCACTCACTGAACACAACCAACGCTCCACCCCCACCACCTGCCGACTCACCTATCCACTGCCCATCCCTGAGGTCACCTTTCCACTCATCCACTGACCCCACCCCACACTCCCCTACGGCTCATCCACTGACTCCAACCAACTCTCCACCCCCATCACCTGCCCTCTCATTCACCTGCAGCCCATCCCCAGGTCACCTTTCCACTCATCCACTAACCCCGTCCCCACTCCCCCTCGGCTCACCCACTGACTCCAACCAACCCTCCACTCTCTTGCCCATTCCACAGGCCCTGCCTCAGGCCACTCTCCAACTCATCCACTGACCACGCCCCACGCCCCCTCAGCTCACTGACTGGCCAAGCCCTTCTCTCAACCACCTCCCTGCTGAGCGTCCTTTCAACTCCACTTCCACCCTCAGTTGAGCAGGTAAATCCAGAAAGGAGAGCAAGAGGAGGTCGGAAACCGGGCATTGTGTGGGAGGCGTGTACACAGTTTGAAATTGGCTTAAAAATAAACACTATTAACACTCCAGCAGCACAAGAAGACTCCTCAGAGCTTTTCTTTAGAAAACAATTTGCACACCCCACTCACACCAGGCACCAGTGGCGTGGGTGTGCAGCTATCAAGAGGTACCTGAGTTTAAGCCAACACACTTAGGCACACAGCGCCTCCCGGGGCACACACCCCTGGGCTACAGAGAGCAAGTTCAGTTTCGAATGGGAATGAAATAGGCCGGGGATGCAATGATTTTTCATTAACAACAAAAAAGTACTGTGTTTTTACATAAATTACTTACACATTATGCAGCTTTGATCCCCTCACTCACTGGTTTCCTATGTGCACTGCATGTTATATGCGCATGTTATTTGCATATAGTCATTCATGAAAAATATGGTACAGCCTGGTGGGTCCAAGGTTTCTGGACTTTTCACTCTAAATATTACCTTATTCACAGATGGAGAGTGCCTTCCAAAGGAACCCTGGTGACACAACGGGTTAAGCATTGGGCTGTGAATCACAAGGTTACAATTTAAACCCATGAGTCCTCCATGGGAGAAAAATGAGACTTTATGCTCCAGTAAAGATTCACAGCCCTGGAACCATTACACATGGTCTTTATGAGTTGTAACTGACTCCATGGCAGTGAGTTTGGTGTTGATTTGGGGGAGGAGAGTGCGAACAGTTGACAAGCTCTGCTGCTAACTTGAAGAGGGGAGGTTCAAGCTACTGAAAACTCTTTTTTCAGATGTAGTTCTACTCTGAGACAGGTGCCAGGAATCAGTCAACTTGGTGGCAGCTGGCTTTATTTTGGGTATTTAGTGTCCCTCCAGGAGAAGCAGATGATCCCACCTCCAAGAGAGACACACACCTAGATGTACGTAGGCAGCCTTCAGCACCCCCAACCAGAAATCCTGTGGACAAACTAGCCACAGAATAACAGATGCCCCTCAACACAGGAGCTTTCTGGAAGGCTCTATGGTACCTCACCAGCCATCCTTGAGACCCTCTGGCCATATAATCCACCCCCACTGGGCCAAGGCATGGCGTTAGACCCCAGCCACTGGTAAAGATGGGTTATTCCCTGCTCTGCCTGTCCAGGGAGCCATGGTATAGGCCACCCTGACGGGACACACCACTCATGACCCCACAGCAGCCTCCTCCCTGTGCAAGGGGCAACTGGACCCACCTTGTATGACTGCAGCAGATCCAGGAAGAAGTTCAGCTTCTCCACCACGTCGCTCTCCTCCTTCTTACCCTGCAGACAAGGTCAGGTCACCCAGCTGTGCACACATCCCCACATCAAGGCACATAGGTCCCCATAGGATGTCCCCCACAGGGAGCCTCCCCCCCTCCAAAGTATACATGTCTCCACAGGGTGCTCCCTCCCAGCAACAGCACACAGTCCTCCACAGGAGCAGCTTCTGACCCTGGTTTCTGCTAGGATGCTGTCCACACAGGCTTCAGCTGTGCCTGCTCTCTAAGACCACCTTGTGTGTACCTCACACAGCAGGGGTTCGTGGAGCCAAGGTCACCCAGGCTATGCCCAAGGAATGCTGGAGGCTAGGGAATCATGTTAAAGGAGACCCAGAGGGAGCATTACGAGATGTCTTCAGTCCAAGTAGGATGGGGTGGGACTGAGCAAAGGGGGTCCGTGCAGCTCAGAGGGACAAGCAAGTGAAATTCAAATTGAGGTGCCTGGACTGAGGGACGCCCTATGGCTGCCCGCAGACCCAAGTGCCAGGGGAGAGGCAGGAAACCAACCATTTGCTTCCAGGCCTGAAGCACAGCTCTGGACACTGATGGAGACTGCCGGACACATGAGGATCCCACCACCTGTGGGATGGCCCTGAAGTGGGGGGACCCTGAGGTGTGGGGCTCCCAAGGCAGGGCAGACCTAGGGTGGGTGGCCCATGAAAAGAGGGGACCCTTACGTGTGGTCTGGGGTGGGGGGAACCCTACAGCGGGGGTCCTTGGAGTAAGGGACTTCTGGGACAACTCCCACGAAGCCACGGGTGGGGCAGACACTTCCCAAGTCCACCAGCCAGCCCACGTCCCTGCAGCCCCCAACATGTTGGCCACATCAATTCACTGCATGCATGCGATTCGCAGCGTGCATGGGCAAATGGCAGGGGCTTAAAAGCAATCACATCTTAATGTTGTTTAATTGCTGCTGGAAATTTAAAGGTCGTTGCCCCACAAGTGAGCTTTCCACTTAATATGTAACAGCCTTACAGCCCAACCCTTCAAGTGTGGTAAAACAGCTTCTCTTCAGATCAATCCCAAATGCCCCAACTCTACAACCTCCAAAAACGCCTCCTGCTGTGTGGCAGAGGCACTCCCCTAGGCTTCATTGGGCTTCTAGGGTGGTAGGGAGGTACCCTGGTGGCGCAGTGTTAAAAAACTTCATTGTGAACTGAATGATCAGCAGTTTGGACCCAAATGCTGCTGCTTGGAAGCAACATGTGATGCCTGCTTCCATAAAGATTTACAGCCTCAGAAACCCTAGAGGGCAGTTCTCCTCTGTCCTATGGGGTCACTATGATGGCAGAAAGGGCACTCAGGCTTGGGGGGCCCACTATCATTCTGAGTTAGGGATCATGAGGCCAATACGAGTCCAGGAGGACAAACACAGAAAGATCCACGAAGAGCCTAGGAGCTGGAAGACAGCATCGATGGGCAAGGTCCCCTAATCTCAGCAGAGTCCATTCCTGGGAGTCTGGGAGCAAATTTGTTTTGTCATTGATAATCATATAACAGGACAAGGGGAGGTATCCTCACAGATGCCCAGCCAATAACTTTCTTGAGGAAGCTGAGGTAGATAGAGGGAATCACCCAGGCAGGTAACGTTCTCAGGGTACACTCAGGCACCCTCACAGACACCTAGGCTGAGAATGTTGTAAGCAAATACTCACTCACCTGCTGTGCTGCCTTGTCAGCCAGCAGCGCAAACTCCACCGATAGGCCTTTCAGTGCCTGCTTCAGGGACCCCCACGTGCTATTGCTCAGGGTGGCCCAGGGGGGTAGCGGTGTTGTGTCGGAGCCCAGAGCACTAGAGAAAAACAGAACATGGGCCTTGAGGCTGTCACTAACAGTCCACTCGACACCAACCCACCTCAGTCACCCACCCAGCGTCCCTTCTGGACCGTATTTCTCAGAGTACTTGCTGCTGTAGCATCAGCTCTGACTCACAGTAAGCCCCCGCCCCCCCATGTACTGGAATAGAACCAAGCTCCACAGCGCATTCTGGGCTGTAATTTCTACAAAGGATCCCTGGTGACAAAACAAAAGGTCAGGGGTTCAAATCCACCTAGCAGCTTCTTGAGAAAAAGACCTGGTGACCTCCTTCTGTAAAGAGGACAACTAAGGAAATCCTCTGGGCAGTTCTACTCTGTCACTGGGGTCACTACGAGTTAGAATCAACAGCACACAACAAAAACAATCTTTATGGAAGCAGATTGCCAGGCCTTTCTTCTGTGGTCCATTAGCAGTTAAGTGCAAACCTCTTGACCTCCCAGGGACCTTCATGTGAAAGGTCGTCTTCAGGAAAACCTGGAAATCTATCAGAAATGCAGGGTCCCAGGCCCTGCCTGAACTGAGGAGTCCGCTTCTCATTTCAAAAAGATCCCGGGAGATTTGTAAGCACCTCTAAAGAGGATGTACAGTTCCAGAGGTGCTGGAGGAGGTAGAGTCCTGGGCAGGCAGTCTGCCTTCTTCGGTGGGGAGTGGAGGCAAGCATCAACAGTTCCTGACCTGCTCTTCCTCGATGAATTCCTTTAAAGTCCAAGCCCGACACAGAGAGAAACGCCACAGAACAGAGTGGCTGGTGGGCATGTCGCCCCACTTTTCCACCTGGTTACACCTGAATTCTTTTTCTTTTCAGTGTCATCACTGATCTGCCTGAACGTTTTGGAGAGAAACAGGCCAACAAGATGCAAGGAGCCCTGGCAGCAACAGTGAAGCAGTTGGCTGTGAACTAAAAGGCTGGAGGTTCAAACCCACTAGCAGTTCTATGGAAAAAAGGCCCAGCAATCTGCTACCATAGATGACTGCCTAGAAAACCCCAAGGGGACATTCTACTGTGTCACATGGAGTCACTGAGTGGAAAATCGACGCAGGAACAACAGGGAAATGCATATTCTGCTCCAAATCCACAACCCAAACACAAAGATTCTACCCCCAGCTAACTCACCCATTGTTGTTACCTGCCAAGGAGTCAGCTCTGATTCACAGTTACCTTGTGTACAACAGGGCAAACTTTCCCAAGTACCATGTAAAATGTGCCAGGCCCAGTGCGGCGCTGTGTACAATGGGGCAAACATTCCTGGTGCTACACCACTCTCCATGATTTTGAATATGTAGGAGCCCACTGTTGAGGCCGCTGTGCTGTTCCATGAAGCTCTCCCCTCCGACACCGCAGGGCTACCTACCTTAGCTCCTTCCCGAAGATGAGAAGGTCAGCAGCATGGTCGATGGCCCGGGAAGCAATCCGCTCTGCCCGGTCCCGGAGCTTGTAGAAGCTGTTGTAGATGTTTCGAACCAGCTCCCGGCTTGCCGTGAACTGGGCCTGGACATCGTCTGGGAGGAAGTCCTGGTGGAGCCAGAATGGAAGGTGACAGTAAGTGCTGCTAGATGGAATGGGCCTCTGAAAAAGGAGCATTTGTCAGCCCCAGTGATGACCAGCTCCACTTCAGGAGGCCACCCGTGAGCCCCTCTATGCTGCCCAGTGTCCACCTGAACGTCTCTTCCCCTCCACCATCACTTACACATCACAGAGGCTAGGCTAAAGAGCTTAGGATCCCATGAGAGTAAGACTAGCATGTTCCTAACCACAGCGACCCCATGTGTGCTAGAGTAAAACCATGTTCCATAGGGTTTTCAGGGGCTAGTTTCTTCCAAAGCACCTCCGGGTGGACTTGTACCTTCTTCACCCTTAAGATTAGCAGCTGATCATGGTTCAACGTGTGTATCACCCAGAGAGTCCAAGCAAAATACACTCAAAAATAGCAAAAATCTTCAAGCATGAACACTGTCCCATAGGGTTTCTTAAGTTGTCATCTGTTGTGTCACTATCTACTCCTTTACTGTTTGTTAAGTGCCATCTAGTAGCTTCCAACTCATAGTGTCCCTGTATAGGTTTCTAAGGAGTGACTAGTGAGTTTGAACTGCCGGCCTTATGGTTCAAACTGACCTACACTGAACCTTATGGTTCAGTGCTTAACCTACAGCACCACACTAGGACTCCCATACACTCCTATATATGTTTTTTTTTTAAGGTTTTGTTGTAAATTGAGTGAGTTTACATGGCAGAACATCGTATTTTGTTTTATTGCAATGATTACAATCCCCTCCATCGGTTAACAGTATTTGCCTCTATTCACTCTTTTTCTGATATACACAAAAACACACAGATATAATCATTTAAACAACCAAAGGGCATATTTTTGCAAGCCAGCCTCTATATCTGAGAAATGCAGTAAAATGAGGTATGTCTGTATTCTGTATCAAAAATAAGAAAAGCAAGTGACCAGGCCGGAGGTGCTGACCTGACCACCATGATGCTTGCTGGTGTGGGTCAGGGTGAGAGCACAGACCTGGGTCAGTGACCTACCTTGGCATGTGCAGCCACTCTGCAATGCAGGAACTCATCCCCAACACACTGAGCAGACTCCTTGAGCTTGTTCTGCACATCCTGGGGGGGGGAGGGGGAGAGGGGGCAGAAACAGCCACTACCTCACTGTCCACCATCTGCACCAATGTGGCCAGCTGGTGTACAGAAAGCAGGACATAGTCAAAAGCAGGATGCACTATCACATGCCACAACCTCTTCATTGTTCCTGCTTAGATGTCTTGTCCTTGACCTGCAGTTTCACATGGGGCAGGATGCCGGAAGGAACCGCAGTGAATGTGGCTGCACCCTGGAGCAGAGACCCATGGCCACTGTCTAGACAATCCTGACACACAGCAACTCTGCAGGACAGAGCAGTACTGCTCCATAGAACCTCCGGACTGTCATCTTTACAGAAGCAGACTGCCACATCTTTTACGGTGGGTTCAAACCACCAACCCTTTAGGTTAGCAGCTGAGTGCTTTATCCACTGTGCCCCAGGGCTCCTCTATCATGTAATGAAACAACAACACTGCAACCCATTCAGCTTCACCTCCCTACAGAGTACAACCACCCCATAAAACTATAAGCCAAAATCTTTACAGGAAGCAAACAGCTTCATCTACCAGGAAATGGGCAGTGGGTTTCAACCACTGACCTTGTGGATAGCTGTCCAATGCTTAGTGCCCTATGCCACCAGGGATCTCCAGATGGTGGTGGTGGTGGGGAACAGCAACTCCCACTGTATCAGGGATGGTGTCTGCTCCACACAGACATGTGTTCTTCTGAACCTCCCAGGTAATACACCTGGGGCACGGGGGAACTGGGGTGCTCTCTATCTGTGAGCAGACCTGGATCACAGGATCCCTGACACTGGGGGAGCATTGGGGTAGAGAAAGGGCATCACTGAGCCCAGCCTTATAGGAGGCCATGCATGAGCTGCTGGAAATAGAACTCAACGTTCTAACGTGCAGCTAGCCTTCATGCCTTGAGCAGTTCTAGAATGGCATATATGCCTCCAAAAGCACTTATCTCAGTCCTCTCCCTTTAGCAATAGAGATCCTAGATGAAGAAAAGGTAGGAGTGGGTGGGGCTCAGAACCTGAGCACAGAAGCCATACCTGTGTCCCTCCAGAGCTCCCATCCCAGGGCTTCCAACCAATTCGTTCAAGTTCAACCCCTGGTGAAAATCTGCATTCCTATCCCAGATATACTATATATACAGGTGTGCTGTATACACAGATGTGCTGTGTGGATACACAATATATATAGGTGTGTTGTATACACAGATGCACTGTATATATAGATGTATTGTATGGCTATACTGTATATATAGATTTACTATACGGATAAATGTATATATAGATGTACTGTATACACAGATACACTATATACAAAGATGCACTGTTTGGATACACTGTATACATAAGAATCACCCGGGGATCTTTGTAAAGTGTCAATTCTAATTCAATTCATCTGGGGTGGAAATGCAAATTCTCAGCAGGGGCTGAACCCAAATGGCCACTAAAAGGTCCCAGCATGTTCTCTGGCTATAAACATCTCTACTCAGGGTACTGGAGTCCACCCCCAGGGCTACAAGACCCTGACTCCTGCCCCAGGGTAGCAGCAGGCCATAAGAGACTTTTGCAGAAGGTTTACTAAGAGATTGACAGCTGGTCTCAAAGGGTCAGGCTCTGCTGTTGCTCAGGAAACAGGAAACCAGATTGTGCTGCGGAACAAGGCCCAGCAGCTGGGCATCAGGGGCAGGCCTGGGATCCCTTCCCAGGTTCCCATGGTGAGCTCTCAGCAAGGGCCCCAACTCCACAGGCAAAGTGCTTGTCCCAGAGTCCCACCCCTCCACCCCTTAACAGGGTTCAGTCCTACTGCCTCCATCAGAGCTGTGGTATCCCTATGGAGTGACATCTCAGCTTCCCCCAGGGAGAGAGATCCCAGCTCCCCCCAGGAAGAAAGAATCCTGCTTCCACCCAGAGAGAGCAATCCCAACTTCCTCCAGGGAGAGATATCTTAACATCCCCCAAGGAGAGAGATCTGTTTCCCCCAGGGAGAGAGATCTCAGCTTCCCCCAGGGAGAGAGACAGCTCAGCTTCCCCCAAGGACAGAGAATATAACATCCCAGAGCCTCTGGTGATGTGGACAGAGATCCCAGCATCCCCGAGGGAAAGAACCCCGCTCTCAGAAAGCCCCATGACGAACTGGCAGACTGAGGGCAGACGACCTGGTGGAGCAGAGTCTGAGCTCTAACTGAAGATATGATTTTCCAGAACACTTATCATGCAGCGCTTCTGCGAAGGACAGTAAGCTGGGTTTTCAATGGTATGTAGTCAATGCTGCCGCTTTTTGTTTTTTAATTGACACAGGCATACCTTGGAGACATTTCAAGTTCAGTTCCAGACCACCACGAGAATGCAAACATCACACACATTTTGTGGTTTCCCAGGGCACAGAAAATCGATGCTGACACGTCACCTATGACGTGTGCCACAGCATCATGAAAAGATTGTGTCCAAAATGGGACACAGAGACAAGTGAGCACGTGCTGTGGAAACGTGGCACCGACATACTTGATTTACGCAGGGCTGCCACAGACCTTCCAACTGTAAAATATGCAGTCTCCAGGAGCGCAATAAAGCGAAGAACAGCACAATAAAACAAGGTATATTTGTACTTACATCTGGAGCCTCCAGAACCTTCTAAACCACACAAAACCCACACCAGCTCACTGGGTTGCCTCCTTTCTGTCCTGTACAGCTCTTGTCTCTTTATTTCATTCAGTGTATGACATAGAACCATAACCATGTTATTAACAGGGGTAATCTAGAGATTTCTCATTCCTGAATTTAAAAGGAATGTTTGTAGGGTTTCTCCAACGGTGTTGACTTTGAGTTGACAAATAAAAAATCCTATTAAGAAAGAGACAAAATCCCCAAAACATCAGTTGCCATCAAGTCGTTTCTGATTCATAGCACCCTTATGTGTTGCATAGGAGAACTGCCCCATAGGATTCTCCAGGCTTTATGGGATTAGGTTGCCAGGCCTTTCTTCTGCTGCGCTGCTAACCTTTCGGTTAATAGCTGAGGTTGAGTGTAGACTATCTGTACCACCCTGGGGCTCCCAAGGCGCACATCGCAATAAGTACTAGCTCCCACTCTATTCACCCACATCCACACAACACCTGTACAGTCAGACCCAGGCAACCACACAAGCATCACCTTCCACCTGTTGTTGGGAAAGACAAGCAATCCAACATAAATCAGTGACACATGGAAGAAATCCTTTCAGTACAGCAAAAAGAGGGGAACTAGGTGGGAAGGCAATTAAGAATGAGAGCCCGAGCCGGCGGGACATGGGTCTGGGTGATACTCACGGAGCCACTGAAGGAGAGGAAGAGCTTCAGAACTGTGTCCTCAGAGAACCGAGGGTGCCGCGCCACCAGGTTGAGAAAGCGCTTCAGTGCCCTTCTCCTGGCCTCGATGAACTCCCTGTCGGCTGCAGGAAGAGCACAGGTGTTACAGAATACAAAGTGTCTCCCCACAAAAAATGTGTGTTCTGGATCCTGAGCCCTAGCCTTGTGTTTATGCTAATGGAGTAGTGTTCGTATGACACAGCCATTAAAGTCCTCAGCTGCTAACTAAAAGGTAGCAATTCTAAGATTACATAGAAATTTATAACCTTGGAAACCCTATGAAGCAGTTCTACTCTGTCCTGCAGGGTGGCTGTGGGTTAACTTGACAGTAGTCAGTCTTATTAGGTTAGGGCAGGGACCTAAGGCCAATTGCTTTTTTAGATATAAAAGAAATGACAGACCAAGCAACCAAGCAAGCCAGCAGAGATGGGGAAAGAGATGCCAGCCACATAAAGATTGCCAAATAGTCATGGAACAGAGCTGAGCCAAGAAAGAACTTCCTCCCTGAGAACCGACAGCAAGAGAGCGCCTTCCCCTATTACAGATGTGCAGCCTGCTGTGCCGTGAGGCCAACAGTTACTATTATGGCAGTACTAGACAACAGAGATGCGGAGACACAGTGACCACATACAGGTCCAGCAAGAGAAGCCTCCACACCAACACAGTGCCCGGAACATTTCAGGAATAGAGGCTCACAGACCTCCACAAAAGCTGCCGGAGGACTAGGAGTACAATACTGCTGCATAACAAATACAACTAAAGAGGGCTCCAGGGCCCTACAAACCTGGCCAGCCAGGTGTACAGGAAAACACAGATCTTATTGAGTAGAAAGAGAAACTCCCAGGCTCTGACCTTTGATCATCCTTGAAGTCTGGAACTGAACTCCCCCTCGTGGCTCAATTTGCTGCCCTTTTGATCTTGAATGGTTGACCATTCTGTAGTATGCATACCTCATTAGTGTTGTCTGTCTGTCCCCACTACAGACCTATCTATTGCTTGTTTCACGAACTTTTTGAAGTCCCCTTGTAGTTATTTACTCAGTGTGTGTGTGTGTGTGTGTGTGTGTGTGTAATACGATAGGGAGCCCTGTTGGTACACAATAGAACTGCCCCATTGGGTTTTCAGCCAAGCAGCAAATAGGTATGTAAGGAGACAGCAACACTAGTGAAGTACGCACGTCATAGAACAGTCAACCATTTGTGATCAACAGGGCAGCATGTACCTCAAGACAAAACCAAGAAGAATTAGGAAAAGAGGAGGAATGGAAACAAGAACCACAGGGAGGAAGTAAGATAACTGTTGTTATGTGGAGGATCCCCATGCAATCATTGAGATGACACTAAGTGTATGGTTTGTTGAATGCAAAACCAATCATCTGCTCTGTAAACCTTCACTCAACTCACAATCCAAAGTTAATAGGAAACAAAGTTCATGGAAAACTTCCATTAGCTTTTTATTTCATTTTTCTACAATCTGTTTGAAGCCTCTGTGCGTGTGTGCATGCGTATGTTCACATACACATGTGCCAAGTTGATTCCAACTCACAGCAACCCCATGTGACAGAGCATAGCTGTCCTGTGGGTTTCTTTCCTAGGCTGTCATCTGAATGGGAGCAGATCTCTAGGTCTTTCTCCAGAGAAGTCACAGGGTGGCTCTGAACTGCTGAAGTGGTTAGCAGCTGAGTGCTTAACCACTGTACCACCAGCACACTTGAATGTGTGTGCATAGAGTCTCCAGGGGCTAAATAAGAACCACACTTAATACTCTCAGTGCCTTAATAACAACACCCCACAGTGCTCTCCTAGGGCAAGGGGGAGACTCTAAGACTGGTTGGATTCTGAGCTGATCAGGAGTCGGCCACAGAACAGGTAAAAGTTTATGTTCAATTTGAAGAGCATTTGCAACGCTGAACACAGTCTCAAATCTCAGGTTATTCCCCCGTTCAAGTGCACAGGTATTTTGGGATTGCTGGGGAAATGGCAGCAAGTTCATTTATTAGACGTGAGAAGTTGAATGTTCTAGATGGGCTCAGGTTCTCTGTGAGCCTCTTCCCTAGCCCAAAACCGCCTTCAGAGGATGAGGTGATGGAGAACGGCTTAGCTTTTTGCCTCACGTTTCTGTTCTCTTCCCTGCTGCTAAACTCACGTCCCTCTGTGAAGCATGGCCAGTCATGGGGGCAGCTGTGATGTCCAGTATCACCCCCAGGAGCTCTCATAGCTCTGCCTCCTGACACACTGGAGCAGGAACGGCAGCATCTGTCATGTGCCAAAGGGGACTAAGGGTGCCTGCCATTCCCCTGCCTGAACCAGACCTGAGCTCTAGGCCACAGCTGACCCATGCAGTGCAGACCCTGTCCAACCACCCCCCATCATGTCCAGGAGGAAGGTGGAAGGCTGGTAGCAGGTGAGTCAAAACAGCACCTGGTCTACAATGGGATCCATTCCTGAGCCCCGATCTCTGCAACCCAAGTCCTGGTGGGGGAATCGTCCCAAACCAGCCTCACCTCCAAGCATCCTCTTGGGTGGAAGGGCCGGCACCATGCGGTACGGGAACTTGTATATCAGCATCTCGTGGAAGACCACAAAGTCATTATATCGCCTATAAACGGAGGACTTGAAGCGCTGCAGGAAAAAGGAGGCTGACATCAGACAGCATCGTGACTGCTACCTCCCTCTCACCCTTCATCAAACAGAACCCCCTAATCTCCTCTAAATCTCATAACCAAAGTCAAACCCACTGTGCCAAACCGATTCCGACTCACGGCAACCCTGCAGGACAGAGTAGAACTGTCCCACATGTTTCCAAGGCTGTCGATCTTTATGGAAGCAGACTGCCACATCTTTTTGTCTCTCTCAGAGCAGCTGGTGGTTCAAGTGCAGTTGGACACTTCACCCTCGGAACCACAAGGGCTCGTGTAACTCCTTCGTGCTTGGTAATACATGCTTTGGAACACCGAACCCTCTGACATGCGTTGTGACTCTTCTGAAATAGACAAGACCTTTCACAGGAATGCTCACCTGGTAAGAATAAAGCACTGGACTGCATGGTTGGTTTGAATTGTTAGGTTGGTGGTTCAAACTCACCAGTCACTCCTTGAAAACTCTTATACAGGCCACTATGAATCGAAACTGACTCAATGGCACTTAACAACAATAAGGTGGCACTCAATGGCTCTTAAGAACAATAAGGAGTCCTGGGGTGGCAGTGCAGATGCGCTGGACTGCTAACTGCAAGGTCTGTGGTTCAAACCCACCAGCCACTTCTTGGAAAACCTATACAGAGTCACTGTGAGTCAGAATCAACTCCACGGCACTTAGTACACATCACACAAGGTTGTGCCCTAAGGTCTCTCTGGGAGGTGCAAATGGTTTGCACTTAGTATGAACTGATCAGAGGTACTGCAGAACAAAATCCTGGTGATCTGTGTCTATAAAGATGACAGCCAAGAAAACCCTACAGAACACAGTCCTAGCTTGTAACTTATGGGGTCACTGTGAGTTGGAACTGACTTGGTGGCAGCTACCAACAACACCAACAAGGTGGGCAGTCATCCTACCCTGAAAAGGCAGCATATGAGAATGATCACATTCTTGACTTTATAGTCTGTTCCCAATATACAGGTCTAAATATAGGTTGTTGTTAAGTGCTGTCGAGTCGTTTCCGACTCACAGCAACCCTGCATAGGGTTTCTGAGGAGCAGCTGGTAAGTTTGAACCGCCAACCTTGTGGTTTGCAGTCCAGTGCTGATCCTACAGCACCACACCAGGAGTCCTGGTTTCAATGTATTTCATGTGAATGCTCTTCACAGATACTTTTTGTACAAATGAAAGATTTGTGGCCACCCTGCATGAAACAAGTCTATCGGGGCCGTTTTTCCAACAGCAGGTGCTCACTTCATGTCTTGGTTTCATGTTTTTTCATCATTCTCACATGATTTCAAACTTTCTCATCATGCTCTTACACACTCATATACAACAGCCTAGTATGGACATGATTTTTATCTGTGCCGGAAAACCAGAACTTGCATGTGGCTCACTTTATTGTGATACTGAAATACCGTGGAGTCGAACCCACAATGGCTCCAAGGTTCCTGCATACACATCCTAAAGCCAGGGTCCTAGTTATGGGGAGAATGGGCTGGACTGGTTGGGGACAAGACTACGCTAGAATAAGTCATATATGGGAAAACTTTATTGGACAGCCTGACTCTGCCTGACTCTCTACTTTCAAGTCCTGTATCTTACTTTAAACCCATCACAAAGACTCTCTCGTCGGCATGGAGACATGACCCTTTGACTTGACCCTGTACAGGCACACATACACACATGCATGAGAGTACACACAATGCCTATTACCTGGCCAGACACCTCATACTCCACCACACCCCTGCACACTCATGCTCTTTGAACATCACACACATGTACACTACTACCTGGCTGGACTCCTCATATTCCATACACACATGCACACTCATGCTCTGCCTGTTACTTCATGGGACACCTCACACTTTACCACATACCTTACCATGCATGCACACTCAACCTCTGACTCTTACCTGGCTGGATGCCTCAAACTCCATCACCTAGGCATGCACACCTGTACACGCATGCACACTCACTGCCTGTTATGGCTGGACACCATTTAAACATGCACACACACACACTCGTGCTCTGAGTCTTACCTGGCTAGACACCTCATACTCCACGTGTTTCAGGAAGAGGCCTTTCTTCTCAGGGATGAGCGCCACCTGCACTGTGTCACGGTCCAGCAGCTCCTGGAGGGTGTCTGAGAGCAGCAACGGGTTCCCCTGCGGCATCTGCATCCGAGTGGGCTCGGGGTCCGTCAACTCGGTCCCCCGGGGTGTGGGCACGTCTGCAGGGAGAAGGAAGAACAGCTGCTCAGAGATGAGCCCTCTGACAGCTCTCCTGTCCACTGGGATGTGCAAGTTCAGCCCATGGACTCCGCTGACCAGGCAAGTTTGTCCACTTCTGCCCACAGTTTACCGATGCCTGGCCAGGCCCCCCTGCTCAGGCATCGGTAAACACATCCACATTTCCATGATCAAAGGGACTCTTGTCTTAAACTTGGGGAAGGGGCAAGAGTGAATATGTACACTATGTAGAATAAAACAAGAAGTTCTAAGAATAAGAGGCCTTTTCTCTGTAGACAAAAGAAGAGGTAAAAGATAGAAACGTTATAAAATCAAATTTATTGACAAGTCGATTCCAACTCATTAGTGACCCTGTAAGACAGAGCAGACTGAGCCACAAGGTTTTCAAGGCTGTAAAGCTTTATAGAAGCAGACTGCCTCATCGTTCTCGGGAGGGTCAGCTAATGGCTTCAAACAGGCAACCTTTTGGTTTCCAGCTAAGCATTTAACCATTGTGCCACCAAGAATCATTTATGGGAAAAGCAAAGCCATACTATTGTATTTCCCCGGTGTTATGTGTTTTCAGCACATAATTTTATATGCCCTAACTATCATTCTCATTTATTAAAAATCTGCACGCCTGCTTACAGCTAGAATTCCTAATCAGACAAATCAAAGAATTAAATCCTAAAACGTCAGCTTCCTTACAGACAGAATCACCCTTATATCCATTCCCCAATCAGCAACAAACAGGACAAAGTGACCTGATGCCAAAGAACTTCCAAAAATAATAATAATAAGGAAATCAAATTGCTGAATCGGCAAACGTTTTGGTGTGTACATTTTCAACACAATTAAAAAAAAAAAAAAAAGCAGAGAATCATGTTAGAATATCCATTTTAATACAAGAAGAGTACTGAAGCTAAAAAAAACAACAACAAAGAAAAAGGGTTTTCAATTAAAAATGAATAAAGCTCAGATATCTCAAATACAAAACTCTTATTTCAATTAATGTTGCTATAAATATAAGTACAACAAAGCTTAGATTTCTTTTTGGTATTTTCCAAATTGTCTATAATACAGTTGTTTTACTTTTTATGACTTACTTCTTACAGCAACTCTTCATACAATAGGCTAGGATTCTGATTTAATTCAATAAAACGTAAATTAATAACCTGATTATTTTCACCTGTGAAATGACTCAGCATGTTGGGTTTCAAATGTGGCTCTCTTTAATTTACCTTAAAGCTGAAGAAAGAAAATAATCGTGGGCCTTAGAGTTTATAAGGGAACCTCCAGACACCTCACAAATAGCGCCCTCCAAGTGCGGGGATGTGGCCTCTCATCAAACCAGTCCACAGGGGTTCAGGGATAACGTACTAGAAATTGTGTGGATGTGTTTCATCTCTTGATTTTAGATGCTCAGGGTATTAGTATGCTGTATGTAACATGTTATGTATAGGAGCTCAAGCACAAAACCTGATACAGTGTGTATTATATATAGATACATGTGCATGTGTGTGTATGTATGTTCAAATGTGTTTACTGCATGTGTGTGCAGTGCATACAACTGTGTATATATGTGTGTGAATGTGTTTGTATGTATGAGGACATACCTGTGTGTACTTAAATGTGTACATGCATGTGTTTGTATTAGCACATGAGTGCACATTTTGTATACATGTATATCTATGTATGTGTATGTGTGTACATGATTGTGTATGAGTGTGTGTGCATGCATGAGCGCATGTATGTTTGTGTGTGAATATGTACATGTATGAGTGTATAGATGTGTATACATCAGTGTGTGTACATGAGTATGTGTATGCATGTATATATGTATGAGTGTGTAATTAAGTATATGTGTATGTATGAGGGGGCTTCACAAAGTTTGTGGGAAAATTCCATTATCTTTTCATTCCATTTTTCCACAATCTTTTAAAATTCCCTTTGTGTATATGAGTATGTGTGTGCAATAGTACGTGTCTGTATGTGTGTGTGTTAGACTTTTTAAAAAATACTTTTTAAAGACCAAAATGTATGCAGGTCACGACTCTGTGCTCCCCCGTCTTCCATGAGCCCAGCCCTTCTCATGTGGAAATAGTCCAACGGGCTCAGAGTTGTTGACACAGTCTCCTGAAGGATTAAAAATCTCTTCAGTCAGGAAACCAACTCCCAAGAATCCAGTGATCAGTAACACAGGCCTACTGAGCTCAGCAATGTATCCAGTCCACACACGGCTACTGAGTGCCCACCATGCCCAACCACCGTCTAGCGTGTGTTAACACCTAATCTCCAGGGAGAGCACAAAGGAAGCAAAAACCCATTTGTAAGAATGCTGGCCCCTAGGAGGTCTGCCTCTCGTGTTCATGGACGCATCCCAAAATTGCCTATCACATCGTGAGGCTCAAGGAACACATGCAGAATGAATATCCTCTGAATAAACATTTTGTCTACAAGACAGAAACACACAGCATCTCTTGGGAAGAGTGGCAAACCCACTGCCATCGATTGCTGGCAACTCATGGCAGCGCTGTAGAGGTTGATGAAGCTGGAAATCATTAAGGGAGCAGACCATTTCATCTTTCTCCCATGGAGCAGATGGTGGGTTTGAACCACTGACCTTGCAGTTAACCATCCAGTGTTTGTCCTATAACACCACCAGGGCTCCTTGGGATAAAGTCAAGTCTTATTTAACTAGAGTGCAGAATATGTAGAATTAAAACAAGAAGTAATAAAGTTAAAAAAAAAAAAAAGCACTAGGGGAAGTATAGGTTCCACAAAGAAAAGAACCTGCAACTCACATCTCTGATGAGGAACTTGTACCTAGAACACACACATTAAAGAACACTAACAACTCAGCTAAAAAGTAAAAGAGACAAAAACCTAATTAAAGGCATGGTGTCCGGGGAGACGGTGGTGTGACCAGTCCATGGGCCCAGCGGCCACACACACAAGGCAGAAACAACAAGGAGATGGGAGCAATCTGAGAATGCAGCCGCACCATGAGCCTTCTCAATGAGTGCAAGAAAGAGGTGACTCCACCCCCTATGAGCTGCAGAAGAGGGAGGAAGAGGAGCTAATGCTATTGCCCAAGAACATCACTCAAGTGCCCAACAACTGTCACAACAAGCAGCTCCGTGAAGGGCAACATGAAGACCTCTGAGAGGTTCTGCAACATGGTACTGGAGAACATGAAAATCTGAGATGTGCATCAAACTCCCCAAGAGCAGCAAGGGCAAGAAGCCCAAACCCATCAACAAGAGCCAGCCCATCACCCAGATGTTCTGACATTGGGACTCAGTCAGTGTGATCCTGCACAACCTGCTCATTGCTAGCATCCTGCCCCAGAGCTGCCTCCCACCACTCTAGGAAGACCTACGCCTGTAACAGGAATAATGAAATTCCTAGGGTTTTTATACTAAAAATAAAAGCAACTAGAAATCTAAAAACTCAACTCTTTTAAGAACTCTGGGGAGCATGCTGTGGACTGTAGCAACTAACTGCAGGTTGAAAGAATAAAATCAAGCCAAAATGTACTGACATCGAATTGATTCCAATACATAGTTGGATAGTTACATTCTGTGTCAACTGGATTGAGTCAGGATTTCCAGTTGTTTGGCAGTTCATAGTTAACTCTATGATGATTGGCTATGAGCAACCAATCAATTTAAAGGATGCTTCCTTGGGGGTGTGGCCTGCTCCAATAAAATGACTATGCAGGAAAGACGAGCTCTTTCCCAATGGATCTGGATCTCATATCTGGGTCGTCTTCCAACTTCTGGTTCTTTGAACCTGAGCCAGTGGCCTGCTCTACTATGTATTTGCCTGATGTGCCTGTCCACTGAGTATGCCTGGAAAAAAGGTTACCTACCGGAGTCCTTTTACATTGAGATATAATCCATACCAAAGGCTGTGCTCTTTGATCTTCATCAGTAAATGTTTTAAGTCCTTTTCACTTTCAGCAAGCAAGGTTGTATCATCTGTATATC